CTTCCGGATGCAAGAGCGGTCGATGGGATGGCTCAAGAAGCGGTCTTTCAAGTAGCGGTAGCGAGTTGGGCTTACACTTGAAGAATGAAAAGAAGGATAATGGAAGAAGTAGTAGTAGTAGACGACTGATGCCGGGAGTGAAGTGAGACTTGAGGCGGCGCGACGATGGTGTATAAAGATGGTGGCCAAGATAGCGCGGGCCACCCAAGGGCTCGGGTTTATGGTTAAATGGGGATGTGATGACAACAAAGTCGCTAGCCACGGCCCTGAGCGAGGATCTCTCAAAGTGGCAAGGATAGCGTTGTCTTTGCCAGATCACGGAAAGGACGCCTCTTTTTTTTTCTTTCCTCTGGCTGAGAAGAGGTTGACGGTATTGCCTGGGGAGAGCGACACTAAAATAGTGCGCTAAGTAGGTAATGGCTGGGCTGGGCTCTCCGCTTGAGTTCAGGCCGAGCGAGTCCTTAGCGTCTGGATCGGAGATAGGACAGGGGTGGGCAGGTCCACGAGCTGGGTGTGTGTTTGGAACCTGGACCAAAGGCGGCGAACAGTGCCGTAGGCGTATGAGAGGGTAGGTACTCCGTACACCGAGGAGAGGGAGGAGGCCAAAGGTTGGGTGGGGTTGATGAGGAGGATGGGATGTCGAAGGGTTCCTCTTTGCGTATAGCGTAGGGTGTGCGTCTTCTTTGATCGGGGTTGGCGTGTGTCTGGATTTGGCCTGGTGTAGAGGTCGGGACCTGACTTGACGAGATGGCAGATGGGAGTCCCGAGAATGCAACTGACTCTTGTCTGATCTGGCTTGCGGGATGCAGGAGACTGTGGGATGCAGGTGCTGCAATGCAGAAGAAGAGACTGAGCGCCGTGCTGCAGTGCGGAGGGTGGTGGTGATGAGTTGGGTGATGCGTTGGTTGGTGCAGCACTCACACGCAGCAACAGCGAGAGAATCTGGTAGACTGCTAAGGTACGGAGTACAGCCAGCACAGCTTTCGACAAGCTGGGGTTGAGGTAGTGTCGGGTGAGAGGTGTGCGAATACTCCGTAGACCGGATGTACGGTAGGTAGCTAGCTGGGTGGTGGTGGGTGCTGATGCTTCGATGCTCGTGCGGTAGGGGGGCGTGGTTGACCTTGGCCTGGTACGAAAGAAAGCCCAGTACGGAAACTGGAAGGCAATGTGGGTGGGTGAGTGGGCTGGTGGGCACGAGTGGTGGCGGAGGGTGGATTCTCCTTCCTCTGGTCTTTCCGACTTTACTCGACTTGACGACGTCGACGTGTGTGAGGTACGTGCTCAGGCTGCCGCTGCCGCTGCCGAATGCTGGAAGCAAAGAGCGTGCGTGCGTATGTGCGTGCGTCTTGCGTAGTGCGGTTTTCTCGTGGTGCTAGAGGAAAGAGAAGTAGCGCGGGCGAAGCGTGTAGGTAGGTAGTGTGTTTGTGGTTGTGTGGTGAGATGAAAGAAAGAGCGAGATGAAGGAAGATGGGGTAAAATTTTTCTTGTCGAGTCTCTCTCTCTCTGTCTCTCAGATCTTCTGGCGCGTCTGGGTCTTTCTTTCTCTCTTTCTCCTTCTCGCTCAGCTCGGTGAAGCACCAGTGTGTGGGAAATGTGAAAGGGGAAGGCGAAGCTAAGGGAAGGGGGTAAGGGGGTAAACCCAATGAAGGTTTATGACGAGGGGAGTTCGATCTTAGCGCCGTTCCCGGGAGGAAGACGAATTTAATACTTGCGACGGAAGAGGGATAGGGAGAATGGGGTAAGCTTGTAGGAGAGGAAATAATGGAACGCCTGAGTGACGGGTCAGCGCGAGGGCTGATTTGCAGCAGGGTGGAGACGCGTCGACGGGCCTGTGAGTGCGGTGGGCAAGGATGGGTTGGAGAGAGAGTGGAAGGATGAAGGGTGAAGGGGGTGAAGTTGTGAAGGTGATGGATGAGGTGGAAGGGTGAAGACCCGGTACGAAGTACGGATTGACACCTCCAGGCTCAAGTTGTGGTTGCCTTTTCCCAGGTTGTTGCTCTTGCGGCTTGCGGCCTGCCCTGCCCAATTGGCAATGCTTACGGAGTACGGAGTATACTACAACACAACCCAGAGGCCAGAGCAGAGGTCCAGAGGGGCTGGCTACCTTTACTCTGTACCTTGTCCAAGTGGTAAGGTAGCTCTATCTACGGAGTGCGGAAGTATTAGGGAGGCACCTCAGACTGAGCAGTCAGGGCAGCAACAATTTTAGGATAGGAAATGGAAGATTGACGACGAGACTGGTCCGAAATGTGACTGGGCAGACGACCGAGTCCGGGGGAGTGCGAGCAGTGATTGATGATTTGGCACAAGATGGTCAAGGAAAACCACACACCCAAAAGAGGAGGAGCCGATCAAGAAATAGGAGGGGAGGGGGGAGCACTCTTTTTTTGCCCTCTCAGTCTACTTTGAACCATACTCTGGATTTCCCCGTCTCCGTAACTACTTTTCCACTCCCTTTTTCTTTTGCAAATACCCAAGTATCCGTACAGATAGAGGGAAGGAAAGGCGTGAGTGAGCCAGTGAGGAGTAGGGACTACTCAGAAGGAAGAGGAGAGTAAAAGGTACGTACCCTCCGAGGTACAGACGCAAGTAGTCGTCAGTCATGTCGTCGTCAGTCAGTCGTCGTCGTCCCTCGTCTTCGAGGTATGTGAGTTGATAGGTGACTGCGGCCGTGGAAAGATGGGAGGAGTACGCGCCCTGTGAAGGTGGGTGTGAATGAGTGACTACGGTCCCGGGGACACGGTGTAGAAGTCGGTACGTACCGACACCCCTGATACAAAAGTTTGGTGACTGAAAACGTCTTCCCAAAGTAGATAGGCGGCGGGTGACAATCTTCCATGTGCTTCCTCTCTGACTACCACAGGGCTGCTTGCGTCGGGGACCGGGGGGTGAGGTAAAAGGTGAGGGTGAGGTTCAGAGCTCGCTTTGCAGGGGTATGCATCTCGTGCCTTCCTGGGAACTTTCCTTACTGCTAAAAGCATCCTGGCTGTATCCGTACTCAGGAAGGTACCGTAGTAAAAGCGTCCCTCGGCACGTAACTACGTACTGTTGGCTTCCAATTCTTTCTGCGGTAGGGTAGGGAGAGAGCATGGAGTGCGTGCCTTCCTGCCCCTCCCCCCCTCCTCCTCATAGACATACTGGAATTGGACAGCAGAACGTACTCCGTACGCATGGGAAACACCAAGCATCTACGAAAGGTGGCTGGCCGTCATATGAGCTGGCAGATGGCAGGTGCTTCTCCGAGGCCTTTGACTGCAGTGTCTGAACATTGGTGCCGGCGCGGGCGCTGGCAACGCTACGCTACGGATACCGGGTACAGGAGATGAATAATGGTGGTGGTGGTGGTAGTAGTGAGTGATGATGATGATGATGATGATGCTGATAATGGGGGATAATGAGAGTGCCCTTCACAGCTAAACCATCTTGGGCACGCATGTCCTTTGCGCACTAAGTCACTAGCTGAGGATCCCTTAGCTTGGCGACGCCGCTTTCTGGATGCCGGGACTAGCCAAAAGTACGGTGGCTTGACTGAATGACTTGAGACCTTGGCTGTGCGTATGGCGTCGCTTCTTCTTTCACTGCTTGCTTCGCGTTTTCTTGGTCAGCACCTTGATCCTCACCCAGTTTTCTCATATCCTCATCTTCCATTGGACGACCGCTCAACTCGACCGCAACGGGTGAAACGATTGAATCAATGAAATGACCAAACTCCTTTCTTGTCTAGACTCTGGACTCTGGAGACTAGACTCCAAATGACTCTAGATTATTAGCAACAGCCTAGAGATTACTTGCCGCGTCGCGTGTCAGATTGATGTTGTTCACCCACGATTGCTCGTCCACGGGCTCGATGAAGCTGTCTGCCGTTGAACTGGCTGGAACGTGCGCCTTCCATGGACTCATTTTGCTCGTCGTCTTATTAACTTTGGTACGGAGTACTCCAATCCTCCTGGGATGCTCGCAGGTGCCGGGAAATTTGCTAATGCCCTTGGAATTCTATGCACGTAATGCTTATCGGCCATCAAAGAAGGGATGAGAAATGTTATATAATAATGATATTATCCGTATCCGACCTGGAATTGACGAGATGCCGAGCCCAGGGTGTGGCCCGTCGAAAACCGAAAACCCAAGACTTGATGCGAAAGATGCCTGACTGGGCTCCCGTGACCGATGGTTCGTAGACTGTTCCGAGGCGTCGACTTTAGGCGTTCGATTCATGTCAATGACTATCAGAATCGCACAATGGCATTCGGTGTTGTTCCCGGTTCTCAGCGCGACGGAGGCTACCCAACGTAGTTGATTAAAGGATTCCACTGGAAAAGCGCGAAAAGCTTCTTTTCTTTGCGCCCAGCTTGGTCGCTACCTAGACCTAAAGATCGGGACCCCTTCCCGAGAGCTATTGCAGCTGCCCGGTGCCGGATCCGCCGTCTTGACTCGCGAGCAGGGGTTGAGGAGAAACATACAAACAAAGAACCTAAGAGTTAGATCATGGGCAAATGCCTGGTCAGAGAGCAATGTACCAAGCGTAACGTACTGTCTTCTGTACTCCGTACTCACCGAGCACTCGAGGGCTGTTCCAGGATGCTGTGTGTGTATGGGTCGACGATGACTTATTCCGTGATGCAGCGGTTGGTGTGTGGATTTTACTGGTATTTGGATTTCCATTTCTCAATGGAGGAATGATAGTTGAGACCGCCCCTCCCCTTCCACGACGCCACACCAAATGCTTGGACAGAAGGGAACAAGATGGGTGGTGCCGGATGGTCTATTGGGGCCGAGGATAGAGAACGCATTCGGGCCTGATCCTAGTCTTTTTTAAGTATGTGAGTGCTCCGCACTCTGTACCTACGCAGTCATTACCGTATTGCTGTGCAATATTTCCTTGCACACGAAAGGGCTGGTTAATACTAGAGGCTGTGGTCGTGGTTGTGCAGTCCTGGCCAGCGAGCAAAGCCGCGTAGTGGTAGCGGACTGTCAACCGCCGCAGTTGAGGAAGCAGAAACTCAGTGAGCCACGAGAGCGTGGCAGCCAGCGAGCAGGCCCCAACCATGAGACTCGAAAGCCCTTGTTCCCTGCTCAACCTTTGGGGGTTTTGCGGTCGAGGTTCCCAGCGGATGGGAATCAAATAGCTGTGGCGGCGAAAGGGGGGTGTGGCCGGTGAAGGGCGTGGCAAGCCATCTGACTGGCTGACATGACATCCGCCCGCACTCCCAAGACATGCTGTCCACGGTACGGCACAGCCAGTCTCCAGAACACGACGACATGCCGAGCTGGATGCTGCACGACCTGCTCCAGCACCTCCGGATGCGTGGCACTCCCTCTACTGTGTAGAAGGCCAATTCCAAGGCTTGGGCATGGTCTTGGCCATGAAATCGAGCAAGGCCAAAACCTGCGCAATGCCATTGCTCCTGGAAGCATGCCTGGGCGCACAACGAGTATTCCCTCTTGTGTCTTGTATTCTCGTACAGGCAAGCGTAGGAGAAAACGGTGAGGGCATTGGCTGCGGTACACATCGAATCGACAGTCCGCAGGAGCTCCAGGATGCGTTGATCTTGATCATGCGTACAGATAGCGCCAGGAAGATAATTCGACGACGGCTGCTGAGCCTGGGTCTTGCATAGGCAACCTACACAGTACGTAGTAGAGATTAGAAAAGGGCAGCGGGTAAGGTTCTCGCTACAGAGCTTGGTAAGTGTAGGTACAGTACTAGGTAGGCACACCATACGGCACATCATACATGGATGGGGAACAAGGAGATAGAGCCAGAATAGGAGACTGACAGCCGCGTCGCGGAACGGGAGCGCGGGCTGAAATGAGCGTGCGGTTTGTCGTAGGTGTGCAAGACCGTACGGATCGACGTACCTTTGGCAGGTATGCCGCAGGCGTACTCTGTAGTCTGTACTCCGTACGGCGTGCGCAATTGGAGGTAACGTGTGCCTCGGTACCGAGCAAACAGCGCTCAAGCTGAAAGTCGAGTATCTGGTAAGAGGAGATCAGGGCAGGTCGAGGCATCAGCAAGCAAGGTCCAGGGCCGGAAGACCGCGGCCGCGGAGCTGAGAGAAGCGGCACCGTGGGTTGAAATTTTTCCTTTCCCCTGGTCGTGGACGTGGTCTTTGTGGCATTGTGGACTCTGTGGCCCTGTGGTGTGTGTGGTGTGCATTGGGGTGCCCACGGCTGGTTTGGGGTTCCCTGACATTGGGTTCTGGGAGCAGCCGCTGACGGTCTTTTGGTGCGGCGTGGCCTGCGTGGCCTGCTCGCTCGTGCTGTGGCACACCGTACCGGGAATTGAAATGCAGACAAACAGCTGAGCGCGAGGGAAATACCGACAAGTGGGACTGAGTGCCTGTGTTCGTCTACGGATACGGTCGTGGATCGTGATGAATAATCGGCGGTCCCTGTGTCTACGTGAGCTGACGAGCTGCAAAACAAAGATTCTCGAGCATCCACTTCACTCACCTCCAATGGCATCGAACATCTGGTGCAAAGTAACAGAGAATTGGAAGCCAAGAGGAAGGGCAAAAAAAAAAAAAGGACCATCTACCCCGGCGACAAGCATGTGAGGTGGGAATGTCGGATCTGGTGTGTGTTGCGGTAGGTAAGGCAGGTGGCCCGGCGGCGGCCCAGAGTGGGTATTCGCGGAGAGAGGTATATTAGTATGTGGGGCTTGTATATGAACATCTGTTCCCACCGCAAGACGCAGAGTTGCGAGGTCTCGTGAGATGCAGAGTCGCGAAAAGAGGGATATGTCGACTTCAGGTTGGTGCTTGGCTTTGCTCTTTGGACTTGGGGGGGGACTTCCACTGGAACTTGGGAACGGGGCATGGATGCTGGGGTCTGCGATGAGTGAAGGTAGGAACGCGAGATAGTGGGGTCTTTCCTTCTGCTATGGACCCAAAGTGGGTACCAAGAGCCTAGGCCCCAGAGAACAGAGATCTGCGCCATTTCTCTGCGCTAGCCTGATGAATGATGAAGTGGGTGGGAACTGGGAAGGAGTCCGTGGCCGGATCCACCTCCTTCTCTCTCACATTTTTTTTACCCTTCAATTTTTTCCCCCATGCCATCGGCGTCGCGACGAACCAGGTCGAGTGATGCAAGGTGAAGATTGATGCCCCCCCTCCCCTGCACTTTGCCTCGCCTTGGCTTTGAGGGCTTGAGAGGGGCTTGGGAGGGGGGCTGATGTGCCGACTTTTCCATCTACCACTGGCCACTCAGCTTGAATCCCTTGTCGATCGTCGAGATGCTCAGTTACGGTTGCATTGGCATCTACTGCGGTCATAGTACAGAAACACCGCCAGCACCTGCAAAATTGGACATCCGAATCACCAAAACCCAACCCCGACGAGATGCACCCGTCCCAGCGACCCAGACAACCAGACCCTACCGAGCACTTCGTAGAGGTCCCAAGTCGCAGATGGGAGCCTAGTTACGTGGGGTACCTCATTTGTGAATCGTGCATACGGAGTACATGTTCGCCGACCATGGCCAGGAACTAGTTCAAGGAAGCTGTATGAATACTGCCATCTGCCGGTACCATTGTGCATTGTCGGATCCGTCATCGCGAACGCCGGGCCCGTCTCGGCACGGCAGCTGAGGAATGACCATTGCGAAAGAGACTCGACTGCATCGGGCAAGGAGCAGCCGGTTGCCTGTAACTTGTCCGTGTCCTCTTCCGACGGACAGAGAACAAAGAAAGCAAAGGCCGTCTTTCATGGTGCCGGCCAAGGGGGGGGACATTGAAGAGGGACTTGCCGTGTGGTGCCCGCGATCTAGACTCCGCGAGTGTGGGACCCTGACTCGGGCGGAGTTGAGGGAATGCTTGCGCTGGAATCGATCCAGATGGACGAAAACAGCATAGACGCCTCGGGGACTTCTGAGCCCGGCGCCTTGAACACAACACTAGCCCCGGCGCCCGTGACGGGGCTCTGCTACCAAAATATTCTCCGCCCGCGACAGATATTGTGCTACGAATTACAAACGAGTGGATTCGGGTGGGCTGTGGATTGTGGCCTGTGGTCTGTGGGCAGCGACGAAACGAGAACCGACATCCCCTCCCTTCTCCTCACCTGCCTTTGGCACCGGCGGCCATTTGACGGTATCTCCTGGCCCGGTCTATTGTACAGCTGCCTTACTATTCATACAGACTTTGCTCCGTTTCTGCGCGGTGATTCCACCTGTATATGTGCTGTGCGATCCTGTGCGTTTCCCCATGAGGTACGACGTAGCAGCTTGCAGCATTCCACTTCGATAAAGTTCTATAGGTTTGTATAGTCATCGAGGATCTTGCTGGTGCCTCGGTCGCGTCGCAAAGATTATTTTGGCGCGCCGGTCCAGGGCTTAGGATCAAACGGTGGTCTAAACTTTCTGGTCTGGCGATCACTCCAAGACTATGATGTTTAGGGGTTCGGCGGTTTCCTACACTTGATCTGTCAACTGGTGTGGAGACCAATAGGTCGTTTTCTGAGCTGCGTCTCTATACGGGGCTGCGACAAGAATAACTGCTGATGGGACGAAAGCGCAACTTATTCTTTGGTTTCCTCACCTCCCGTCCCGATAGAGGTCAAGCCTCGAGGACGGAATATCGGACGTTTCCAACGGCTTGGTGGATGACTAGGTTGAAAACGAGGGGCTCGGACTGTAGCAGAAGAAGCCACCGCCGTATATGCGATGTAAAATTCTCGTTGATCAGCGGACGTTGTGTGAGCCAGCCCCCCCCCCCCCTTGAGCTGACGAAGTGCGCCACCAAGAAACGGTGATGGATGTTACCCGCAAGATTCCATCTATCACACGAAATTAATCGTCTCGCCTTGATACTCACTCTGGAGTCTGGAGAAGAATTCCCCAGAAATGATATAGGTTGTAACTTTGTAAGTAAGTCCTATTGCTTGAGACGGCACTTGTCTCCTGACACAAAGTGTCTGATGTCGAGCTTGTCCCTGTCACCCACCAGTGGCTCGGGGGCTATCTTAGCGTTTTCCCCGCAAGTTCGACTTGTCAAACGAATCCCCAAGCTAGGGCCTAGAGGTGCGCTGGTGCTGGTGCAGACGCGAACGCTGAGGCTGGCTCATCCTGTCTCGAGCTTCCCATCCGCCAGGGGCGAGCGAGCGAGACGCGACGCGACGCAGTCGAGGAAGTGAGTGATGGTTGAACGTATGGACAGTCGCAATAGCGGCAGCTCTTGAGATGACGGCTGGACACTGCTAGCCTGATGAAGCCAATCTATCCACGCCTCTCAGTGCGGACGCGAAAGCTCATGTCATCTTTGCGATCTTGGAACGATCTCGGGAGGTATGCTTCTTGACATGAGGGCGGAATTCCGATCGATTTGCCGAAATCCGTCGACAAACCGTCACTCCCTTCGCGGCGAAGCTCGATCTACGATGGGGCTCCTGTGCACCATCTGGGCAGAGATACTCGGTATGGATACAGAGAACCCGTGCGGATACCGCGTGTTGATAGTGATAAGGCATCACAAATCATTGCGATGAGGTCCTTGGGAAGCCGGAGATTCGACAATCGACAATCGACACCCTGTTGGCTTCCATTTCGTGAAGGGTGGGTTTCCTGGAGAGCAGAGGGTCAGAACTCGCTTGGAAAAATAGCCTCGGGGATGAGGGCTGTTTCGTGCTAACTGGAAAAGCAGCTAGCGGCATCCGCTGCTTCGATATTGGAAATGGGATTTTCCCTTCGCTTGTCTATCCCCCTGTCATCGGGCACCTCGAGGCCGGGCGAGGGACGACGGACGAACGGGCCACCCCTCCACGTCAACATTGTCGCAGCTGAGATCTGCCGGGGGCGGATTTACCAGGAATACCGAGCCAAACGCGAGACTGGGGGGGGGCTCATATGCCAGGGTTTGAGGACGACCAGATTCGAGGTTTTCTGTATCCGTACTTCGTACTGGTGTCCTGGTCAAGCTCTCAGTCAGTGAAGCACTGAAGTCAAGGTAAAAGGGGGGGCAATTGGGGGGTAAAGATGAGGAGGGGTGGTCCAGCCCTCTAGGCAACCTTCGTTGAGTTCCTTGCAAGCAGCTGCAGCATCCAGCTTGCCCTGCATCCCATCCATGGATGATGGACCTACCATGTCCCCCCTCTCCTTTTCCCCTCCACCTTCAACTCCCCTCTCCACCATGTCAATCACCACAGTGTGCTGCTTCCCCTGCCCTGTTTGTAAGGCCGGTAGCCCACTAGTTCCCTTCTCCTTGCTTCAGAGAATTTCCAGAGGGCTGGAGCACCGGGAGACCCTTGGAGGCTTCCCAAAATCCCAAGCGACTTGTGTAGAGAGCAGGGGATGTGATGTGAGGGCATGTTCCCTTTCCCTCCTGGCTACCCCTCGCTTAATTGTGACAGCCTGCGACCCTGTCTGACTGCGGCGGCGACGACTGGGTAGGTATTCGACAATCGCAAGTACACTACCTTTCCGTCCAGGCTAATTTGCACTGCAAAGTGGTGGGAAGTGGGTACTCCGCGACTCCATACCGAAGATGCCTTCCAAGATACCCAGAAGACGCATGCGGAGTCGAGAATCGGAGGAGGCGGACACTGGGCAGTGACAATGGCACATATCAATTACACATGCCTCGGTGGAATGAAAACAAAAGTGCGGTCATCCAAAGTTGAAGTGGAACTTTGGACAAGGAGGCATCCATACTCGGTACCTTAATGTGAGAAAGGGCTAGAAGCGACTGCTGGCACTTGTGTCGAGTAACAACGATGGCAACGGTGACGGTGAAGGTGGACGGAGGACCGTGGCACGGTCTCGGCCGGAAGTGGCCGCTGGGAAGCGGTCGCGCCTGCCCAGTGCCCTCGCAGCCTGCCCGGCATCTTCTCTCGGTGAGCTCTCTCAGAGGTAGGAACCTGAATCAAGGTGAGGTGCACTTCCACGGGCATGCAGCCGTCCACGTCTGATTGGACCAAATCAACATGTTGTGGCTACTTTACCTTAGCCATTCGTACCTTCCTCGGTCCTACCTCTGTACCAGGGCACCTCGCCTTTTACGAAGCAGGCACGGCAGGCACCTTCAACTTCGGTGCGTTCCTGCCACTCGCCTGCACAACACAACCACTTTGGCGCAGAGACACCTCACGTCACAAAAGTGGTATCCTCCGTGCCTTCTAACTCGAGTAGTTTCTCACATAATCTGGAAGGTAGGTACCTTTTAGTTCGGAACCATCACCACAGATGGACTGTCCCATCGTAGCAACTCCCATACAAGTACCTTATGCAAACGGTTAACAATAGCAAAAAAGGCAAGTACAGATGCGAACCACGGGCATTATCCTCTTTCCCGGGTTTAACTTGTGTACCAGCGACTTGTGTACCAGCGGGGAAGGAGTGCTCACGGTCGTCTTCACGATTCCTTCTATTTGTCTTCGAAGCTGCGCTGGACCTTCCAGTGGCGGGACCTCGGGGAAATCCCGGAGTGACATTTTGCATCCCGTTGTTCTTGACCTGGATGTTGGATCATGGATCCCTCTTTCCCGCCGTGCCCGCCTCTTGTCGCCCGCTTCGCCACTCGCCCAATGGAACATCCATCCTCCGCGAGTCCTTCTATTACGGGATGCACCTCACCGGGCCAGGCATGCCACGGCACCGTGGGCACCTCAGCACCTCAGTCTGTCATGTCCCTGCTTGCGAATCAACAACTTAACCGCCACCTACCGCTACAATGCCTGCGCCCTGCCTGTCTTCCATGTCTAAATCATCGTCTACGAATGCATGTACGAATGCATGCCCGCCTTTCGACTTCGAAACCATCCCCCCCTCCCCGGTCGCTAGGATTCTCATGCTCACGCTCAAATCACACCTCTCACCGCTCACTTCACGGCCGAGTCGGTCGGCGTCCGATAGAATTTGAATACCCCCGGTCCTGCACGCAATTGAATGCTTCACAAATTCACAATATCATCACAGCGCAATTGCCGCCGTTGTCACCGTCGTCGATGTTGCCTCCCCTGCGAGCTTGCTAGCTTACCAAGTATTCGAGCCTCTTTTCTACCCATAACCTACGCGCTACCGACCGACCGTCCCATGTTCAGGCATGTCGAGACAGCCTTGCCTAAGTTAATGCCAATGTGGCCGCGGCTCCTTCAAAAACACCGGCGTCAGCGCCAGGCCAGGAACCGACGCCAAAGTACTTCTTAGGGCTACTGCGTGCTCAAGAAGCTCAGGTCCCCCAATTCCCAATCTACGGGCTATGCTCGAATGAACTAGGCAAATCCCGACACCCTGGTTTGGGGGTTCACCAAGAAACGCAGCCCGCTGCTAGAGTGATCTGTCGCGAAGGTTAGGGCGTCGACAGATCTCAAGCGACCCAACCCGCTGGGATTCGACTAAACAAGCGTTAATGCCCCGGAGGGGCACAGTGTCTGCTTCTTCTCCAAACTTGTTGGTCGCCCACGCGAAGGAACGGGAACCAGTCACCCAGTCTAAGCCAAACCAAACCAAACCAGTCCAACAGCCGTTTTCTGTCGCCCTTGACCTCGCACCTACATACCACGTCCCTACAGAGTACTCCGTATCCGTTCACACAAGCCCATACGCAGTATGGATGTTCAATGCCAATCTAACCTTGGGATGACCATCAAACATGTTAGCGGCCATGTGTACAAGCTTACACGTTTGTTCCAACGACAAGCCGCCCGGCCCAATGTTCCGGGACAACTAGTTGCTACGCCGCCCTTTAGTCAAGCCCAAGAAGAGCCTCCATGAAGCTAGTGTACGGATACACGAAGAAAACAGCCGCCCAGAGTTCACTTCAGCATGCAACATGTGAACTTTTGACATCTAGGCGGGCGATGCTGGGTATGTGTACGCACGCTCTCAACTGTCACCGAACCCGGAGCTGCGGCCAGTCAAAGCGGCACACCAAATATCCATCCGTACATTTCGCCTGACAACCAAACTCGACAGCGGCAAGCGCCCGTCAGCCCACAGCCACACTCCCCTAAGCCGTCCAAACAATCGATGCTCAGAATCGTCGCCGTCGTGACCTACGGTATCGGCATCATCCTTTGCATCGATCTAAATCATGCGTTTCTCCGAATCATGAATTTGACAATCACTTGTAATCTCGCCGACAGCCGCAGCAGGGCCGTCAACCGCTTTGCCCGACGACAATAACCTCTTTCCGTCTTTTTGCAGCATTCGCCCATTTCATTTCGGCGCATAATTTGACCCTCTTCCCAGTGAGATATAACCCCATAGCCGGCATTTTATTAGCGCCACTGGAAGAGAGAGAGAAAGCAAGCAGAGGTCCCCTCACCTTCAGCTATGCGCAGTACGTCCATGCAGAAAAGAAGAACGACAGAAACAACATTCAGACAGGATAGACCCATATGGGGTCGCGGATCCCAGAGGAACACGAGAAGTCGGAACGAGGTCGCGCGGATAC